CCTCCTATTCCCAGTTTCTTTATATAAGACGTTTCTAATCGTGTTCGTCCCCTTTCCCAGATAATGTAGGTGACGATAAAATTAACGAGGCATGATGACGATTATCGAACTTATCATTAATATCTCTCTTTTCGATACTCTTCTCTAACACCTCTAGCAACTTCTTTCCTTATTTTACAGATCCGACGAAAAAGAAAGAAATTATTCATACAATATAACGCACTACTCGACGTTCTTAAGAGTAAGCTTGAAATTGCATTTTAAGCGCGGTCATTCGGTAGGTAATAGGTCAGTCATTGGTGATGTTACATATAGGTTTCTTGACTTAAAGTAGTTTAACAAATTGATGTCTAGCATAAAACATATGTAATTTTGATTCAATGTAGGCTCCTATTAGACGCATAAATGTTATATAATTTGAATTCGGGTGGTTGTGTTCATTCTCTCTCTTTATTTAGTAGAAATACTAAAATGTTTGTAATTATTTTTCGTAATAGGACTTTATTAAGAAAGATTCATCCTGATTGATTGAAGAGTCTCGGTTACGTAGATTACTGATCGTATTAGTGCGTCTTGGTTTGAGGACTTGGTGCATGTTGACTGTTATTTTTGCTTCTGTTACTCACAATGGGTTTAATTATTCATCATTTTCAATAGAGCTGCTGGAAAGACCAAAATATGGCTAATTTAAATCCATTGAAAGAAACGTCATCTTCAGGATATGTACAGTAATTGATAACTTGCGTTAGACCATAGTGACTTTGACAAAAAGCTGTCGATTTTATAATGGTTGGAAAAGGTAATGCGCATCTTCATGCATCATAGAATAGATGTGAGTCTAGTATTTCGTAATATTTTTGTTGAAAAAGCAAGTGCAAAAATTTTTAACCAGCTCGACGTGATGTGTACACTAAACTATCACCATAGGTTGATTTATGAGCTCGGATGGTTTCATTAATTTGTTTATCTCTTTTTACCAAGTTTATGACGAGAACTTTTTCTTTCTCTTAAACCTTGGAAGAAACCTATGGAAGAATATGACTGAGCTCGATCCCATTGCAAATGGTTGTGATCTTGGAAGAAATCTATTCGATCCGGTCGTGACACTAGAAAAAAAAAATTTCGTCAAGAGTTCGTGATCCTTGAAAAAAAAATCCAGTCTAGATGTCGTGTTTTTCGAAGAAGTCTATCTGATTTTATCGATCCCACCAAATGGTCTTATTCCTTAAAAATACACTATCTGAACTTATCGATCCCACAAAGAGACATAATCTTTGGCTGAGCAGTATGATATCATGACTTAATAGTACCTATAATGAATATATAACCTTTTTATCATGTCTACCTCTATCGCTTATTAACGAGAAACTGAAAGTATTCATACGAAAAATACCTCGAGTTCTTCCCTATGAAAAGTGGTCATTCTAGCAACAGTTATTTAAATGTTGAAAAAAAAAAAGACACATCATTTCTTTACAGTTCACTATATATCATAAACAATATATTCACACATTCGTTGTGGAACTCCTAACAATAAAAAAGTAAGTATATTGGGAGAAAAATTTAAGGTGATATTTTATAATGAATGCGAATGCCGGGCCAATCATATTAAACGATCATTAACTAAGTACATATTTTATTAACAAAATTTGGAAATACAAAAGAAAAACCTATAATTACCACCTTACTCTTCTCCGTAATAGGTTTAAAGAGAAGATATCTATCTAAAGCAAAGACGAAGTCTAATTATAAATAAAATTATTATAAACATCAATTGATCAATCAATACATATGATCCAAAAATTAATTAAGACGGGAATGGGGATTCTAATGCTGATGGAGTTGCTGATGTCATGATGGATATGACGAAGGTGAATAATTGATTTGTTTTATCTAAATTGCATAATTTGACTATCTATTTACTTTTTTTTAAAAAAAAATAGCTATCTTTGTATAATATAAATGATGATACATGATGAGAGGGTGTTCTTTATTTTAAATTCGTTTACTAAGCGTTTGTAGATATATTATTCATTTCTTTATGTTAGATATTACGCATAAAACACTTCAGCCCAGTATCTCATGATATCGCATATTTATACAATAAATCTATGGTAATCCAAGTATGAACCGATGAAATAAAGATTAAAATCAGACACGTCAAAGTTTGAAATGTAATAAATTTTTTACTCTGCATTTTTAATAAATGGATTTGAATTAATTGAAAGAGACAAAATAAAAAATTTCTGTTGAAAATACATCTAAATATAAATAAATAATGTTCCGATAACGGACAAGAGGATTCAAGAATTGAATATATATGATTAGATACGATAAAAGGATTGACTTTTATTCAAAATAAAAAAAAATGCAAATACGATTATGAGATTTCGTAAATTAAAACTGTGGCAACTGATTTTCTTAAATGTTAAACTGTTAAGATTTTATTATATTTTATTTTTAAATAAAATAAAAATAAAATAAAATAAAATAAAATTAGGATACCGAAATGGTTTAAAGACATTGGAATCCCTGGTATCTGTAATTTTCCGAGGGTAATTTACAGTATCTAAGGTTATATTATTTGCAAGCAATTATTTATTTAATGTCTAATTTCCAAAATAGTGTATAATATTATTTAAAAAGAAATTCATTTGAAAACAATACTAGTTCTTTCTTTAATGTTTTTTCTTATGATAATAAAGAAATGTATAGTATTAAATCTTAGCATCGGATTACGTTCGCAAGCGCAGTAAAATTGCGATTAAATATTAATAATCAACTAACTTTTATGTTTTTAGTTAAAAACATATGGGAAGCTATTAAAATCACGTTACGGATCATATGATTTACTATGTTCGTAACTTGATTTTAATAGCAAACCTCCCATATAATAAAAATAACTTATATATTATTTAATAAAAAAAATTTAGTGAAAATAAAAAGTATATAATAACTTTAGAATTAATCTTTCATCAAACGAATGGCGACATTATATGAATGTTCTTGTTAAATAAATATACGAGATTACTTCTTATTATTCTACTGAATTTTATTAGTTCTGAAATTTTAAGAAAAAATTATAGAATATCGTCTCAATTATATTAAACTTCATGCTTACCAATTTAAGTTATTTCTTTTTTCATTCCTTTTTTGCAGAAAAAAAAATATAAAAACGAAATGTAATATAATTATTTTAGCAATATTTAATGACACACAATAATTGATATGATATGATAATTATTTTGATACTTTTGACATTTTCGTTATTTTTTTCGCAATTACTGCGCCATTCGTAAATGTCGATTTCTTATAATCATATCGTAACTTCACGGATAATTTCCGATAACCCGTGAAGTTGCTATCAATAATATCATAGTAAAAAAAAAAATCTTAATCTGATTACCTAATTCGGTTATGCACCTAAAAAATAGTTTATGCAATCTTATTGTATTTGTCGTTACACCATTCCATGAATATCATATCAAACATTACCTAATTTGCATTAATGTTTTTTTAAATTCTTTTCTCTCTTACAAGAAAATAATTCATAAAATTCGCAGTATTTTTCAAAATGACATCGGTATTTCATTCAGGTCTTTCGAAAGATTTTTCATTAATTTTAAATGATGCTGATGATTACAACGTCATTATACAAGTTGGTGAAAACCAAAATAAAAAAGAATTTCGAGCACATTCAGTAATTTTACGGGCACGATCTCCATACTTCAAAAGTGCCTATTACAAAAAAGAATGATATGATCATGTTTGAAAAACCAAACATCACTCCAACCGTTTTTGAAATGGTTTTAAAGTATGTTAACATATATATGAAATGAATTAAATTCAATTATTTTTATTCGATTAAATTTATAAAATTTTTTAAAAGATTTTTATACACAGGCGAAGTTAACTTGGTCGATCAGTCAGGTGAAGATATATTCGGATTGTTAATTGCATCAGATGAATTATTGCTTGATGAATTATTCAAATATGTCCAAGATCACTTATTTGAAAAGCATACCTCTTGGATGCACAGCAATTTTGTTCTGGTTCTTCATTTCGTATTTAAACTTGCTAGTTGCAAAAAACTTCAGGATTATTGTCTTCAATCAATTTGTACTGATCCACAACCATTTATCAATTCGAAAAGCTTTTCATCACTAGATAAAGACGTCCTACTTGGATTGCTTAAAAGAGATGATTTTCAAGTCGAAGAAATTGTCATTTGGAATTGTTTAATCAATTGGGTTATTGAACAAACTCCTGGGCTAGGAAGCAAGAATTGTAATAGAACAAAATGGAATCAAGAGAATTTTGAAGAATTGAAAAAAACATTAGAACAATTCATTTCCCTAATTCGGTTTGTGGAAATTTCACCCAAAGATTTTTTTGATAAAATTCGTCCTTATAAGGCTGCTATTCCAAACCATATTTATGAAGAAATCGAGGAATTTTATTATAAAAAAACCTTTCCAAAATCAACAAATTTAATTCCACGATCTAGAAAGTTCCAAATCGAAATTGAGTCACAAGTTATCAAACCAGATCTCGCAAATGTAATTGCCCATTGGATCGAAAGAAAAGATGATGTTAAACTTCTGCTTAGGGAAAAGTATAAGTTCGAGCTTATATATCGCAGTAGCCAAGATGGGCTTACTCATCAAGCACTTCGTAGTAAATGCAATAATCAAGGTTCATGTTTGGTTTTAGTTAAACAACCATCAACAACAAAAATTTATGGAGGATATAATCCACTTGGCTTTACCAGCGGTAGTCAATCTCTTGTAACAAATGAGAGCTTTACATTTTCTTTTGAAAATGATAAGGATACTACAAGTATGAAAATAAGTCGTGTAGTTAAGACTAATTATGCAATGTGGGAACATAATGGTAATGGATTCAATTTTGGCAGCACTTTTTATATGATAGATCAATCTATTTATTTGAACTATAATGGTAATTATGATGGTAATGTTGTTGCAAATTCAAGTTTCAATTCTAATTTTGTTCCATCTCTTATTGAAGTTTTTAAAGTTATACCAAATGTTTCTAAGTGATTTATTTATCTTAAACGAACGTAACATAAAACTTTATCAGTTATATGAAATCAAACTATCAGTAAAATTTTGGAGGGCCATTGAATATTAAACGGATTCTTGGTGAATTTTAAAATTTAGTTTCTTTAATTATAACCTTCGTTGAAATTATAGATCATCAAATAATTCTTTGAAATAATATATGAAATAACGTAAATATATGAAATTTAAACTATTAAATAAAATTAACTTAAATCTTCATTCTGGTTTTAAAGACTCGCTTGATAATTTGATAATTTCGATTGACGTACGTGTATCATACTATATTTTAATTATTTTTGAATTGATATCCGCTTATTATATAGCATAAAATTCAAGTTATAAAAATATTATCAGATCAATATGGTATTGTTAAAATATAAATTAAATTAACTCACCCACCATCGCCGATGAAAGTTCACGTCTTACTATAATTTATCATTGAAGCTCTCGAAAGGTATGAACATCGGTTGGATTAAACTGGGACATCCTTTGGAGCGCTTTCTGTGAAATACGATCCGACGAACCAATATATTCGCTTGCCATAGAATTTTTGTGAAGAATTGAGCCCGGGATGAAGAATAACAATATTGTGTAGAAAAGATAAATGATATCGAATCAAGAAGAAATTCGCTTATCCTTTCGCCCTAAGTCTATCAATTAATTCTTGGTACTTACGGACATAAATCTGAACAAACTTTGATGAGTTTTGAAGATATCCTTGCTTTAAGGATTTACATATATTGATACAACATACAACTTGGAATTAATCAGAACTTTTAGTTCTGTTAAAAAAAACGCAAAAAATTTAGAAGTAACTTTCTTTTGCCTTTGAAATCAATTCTAGAATGTCCAAAGTTAACTAACTCAATAATCTTAAGGAGGTCTGGATAAATATTATTTCGAGTTAATTTTTTAGAAATTTCTATTTTGTACCGCAGTATCGCAACATGCTCTCTATAGCACACGTGATTGCATTTTCGTATTTTATAGAACTAGTTTTGATAATTACAAGCAATTTAGTTGGAAATCAAATCATTATGTAAGGGGTACTGAGACAATATTATATAATATTTTGAAATAAATTAATAAAATAAAAGGTCTTGGATGATTTGCCTTCCTGATGGATCAAGAAACGTTTTAAAATAAGGTTAATTTTATTTCTCCAACTGTAAATCCTATCGAATAATTAATCAAAAAAAAAAATGAAATGAACGTATTTTTTAAGAGTAGTATGAAAGTATGAATTGTGTAATGTCAACTCATCTATAGATGGTAAAATGACTAAATTCTGGAACTAAAATAAAGATTCAGATTTCTATCGCTCAATTTACTCGATAAAAACAAAGCTGAAGCTGCAACAATGGTGATGAGAAACGTGCCTATTTAAAGTTGATTGACGATTTGTAAGTTTTCTAATAACATTTGTGTATTCTAATTTATACAAACTTTGACTTACCTGAAAGGTCTCGCTCAACTGAAACTGAACCAGTCATCGGTTCGTAATTTCTAGTGAACTTTATTTTTGTTTATATATTTTATTGAATTATTACCGACCTACTTACAAATGATAAAATATCTGAGCTTAAAGCACAAAGACATATTTGAAGAGCCTATTTTCGGAATATTTTGACCTAAAAGGAGCGGATCTCAAAATACTTGCTTAAAAACTGAAATTTAAGCAAGATTTATAGAAATCTTTTTACTAATACACAAATCAAGTTAGTTTTATTGGATTCATGCATGGACGCGTATAATAAAAATATTAATTAATAAATAAAAGTAATTTATTTAATTTAATAAAAAAAATAAAAATTTATTAAAAAATTAATAAAGTTTGCCTTAATAAATAGTAGGGAATTAGAAGCATTTTAAACTGGCTTTATATGGTGCGAACGGTCTAAAGCCACCACTTTTTTATTTTATGGCCAAATTCTTTGGCCTATAATACAGTCACGTGAAATGAATTTTATTGGACAATATCACATGATTTATATTATTTATCGTTACCAACTAATATTATTTTATTCCTAATTTTTGTTTAAAATAATTATACATTAATTACATTATCAGGAATTCTTCGATGTGATTTATATTTTTTTACAGTATATAATGCTTCTATGCCTGTTAATCCTTTTCTATATGCATCCATGAATCTCCAAGATCTGCGTGCGTAACCTCTAATTGTTTCTAAAGAAATTGAATTCAATGCTTCAGGAACCGTTTTTTCTAATCCCTTAAAAGAATAATCACAATTATTGCGAGTATATCGTTTAGTAGCACCCCAAAACATCTCAATAAAATTGAGCTCACAATGAAATTTTGGATAAAAGATAACTTTATGTCCACAATCTTCAATTATTTCCCTAAATTAATGGTTTTTGAGCTAAAAAATCTGGTTGAAGTGAAAGTATTCGAACTGCACAGCAATCATTTGCAATTATTGAATGTTTTTTGCAATCAGAACAAATACAATTTACACCTCTTTCTGGCTATAATCCACATTCCTCCAAAACTAAACAAATTCCTTTAGGTCTTTTATCTAAAAGATGCATTGATTGTATTGATCCATCAGGCATTATCCTATTTTTAAATTTTCCTTTACCACCTGAATTAAGATTCATTTTTGATGCAATCAAAGCATCCTCTGCATATGCAGCATAAGATGTTGCATTATCGAATGCAAATACACCAATATTACCAGGATGCAGTTTTTCAAAAATTGGAATTGCTTTTTCAGTAATCTAATTATAAGGTAATTTAAATTTAAATTATTATTATTTTTAAAATAATA